TCTGTCTGTCTGTCTGTCTCTCTCTCTCTCTCTCTCTGTCTCTGTCTCTCTGTCTCTGTCTCTCTCTCTCTCTTTCTCTCTGTCTCTCTCTCTGTCTCCCCCTTCTCTTGAGAGAGAGAGAGAGAGAGAGAGAGAGAGAGAGAGAGAGAGAGAGAGAGTTGAGGTCCCAGTTCTAGAAGACAAAGTTTATTTTCCAGTAGTTTGGGAAAAACAAAGAGGATAGGAGCTTAATAATTTATAGATGAGAGGCAGGGGATATTTGGTCTTTGATGTTAATGAAATGTATTTAGCTAAACCTAAAACGGGTGATGATGCACCTGCCAACTTCCTTTCAAGCTCACGATAGACGTTAGTTTATGAAACATTATTTATTACGTCAAAGAGTAGTAGGGCCTTGATCATTGTTTATAACCACCACCACCCCCTCGCACACACGTACACACTAAAAAAAGAACAAAAACAAACAAAACAAACGAAACGAAACAAAAACAAACAAACAAATAAACAACAACTGCACAACAGCAACACATAGAGAGACAAACAAATGCAGAAGTCGTTCCAAAAAATTTCATATTAACCCAAAGCTCTTATAAAAACAGGCTTTAAAATGTACGGGCATGACGTCATTGGCAGACAGACTGACGTCATACATAATGATTTAACCTTAAAGCACTCAGATTAAAGACGTGTTTTTATTTATTTCAGTAGATGTTAGATCAAGCGAGGGATCAGACAGATCATGAAAACAAAATCTAATTTGGAAACCACAAATTAAGAAAAGAAAACCCCACTCGCCAAAACAAAGCGAAACATACAATTAGATCTGTGTAATGTTTAGTGGTTTGTTTTGACGCGAGAGAGAGTTCACACCAAAAAAACCAACTTCCGCCTGTTCTTTTAGCCCGCCGAAAAACAAAAACGAATAACAAAAACAAGAACAAAACAGGCCATTTCACCACTCTTCATTACCAGCCTGTCCGTGTTTACGGCTGTTTAATTTCCTATTCTCGTGTTTTCCTTTCGCACCCAGCGTAAAGTGCTAATGTACTTTAATTTTACAGGCGTGTGAAAAAAGGAAAGTACGCCTTTATTTGGGATTCCCCCACCATACGACACACCATCAGCAACGACTGTGATCTCATGGAAATTGGATCGCCCTTTGACCTCAAAGGATATGGATTTGCATACCGGAAGAACGCCCCCTATGGTGAGAAGCTGTCAATGGCGATTCTCAAACTAAACGACGAGGGGATTCTGTACAGGCTAGAGCGCAAGTAAGTGCTGGACTGTCTCTGTTCTGTCTGTCTGTGTGTGTATATAAGTGTTTGTCTGGCTCTATGTCTGTCTGTCTCTCTGTCTCTCTCTGTCTGTCTGTCTGTCTGTCTGTCTGTCTGTCTGTCTCCCTCTCTCTCTCTCTCTCTCTC